AAATCAAAACCAGAAAATAACTGTTGACTTAAATATCATCCTATATATTAGAAAATGGGGCAAATAAGCATTTGAGTTGCATAGTTATCAGACTGCAACACACTGCAGCACACTGTTGTAAATAACAGAGGGTAAAGCAAACTTCATTTGAGCGGGCAAAGGATAGCAGATTTCAATCCTCAAAGTGTGTGTGTGTGTGGAACTATAAGCTTTAAAGGTGGAACTATAGAACCAGAAATTCATATCAATATTAATTCTAAAACCTTGTTTTTAAACAATGGCAATTAAAGCAACTAATATGTCTTCACTTTCATCAGACTAGAAGCAGCACCAGCTGAAATGATAAAAATTACAGAATTGGTTCTAAAGCATAATATGCAAACATCTCCATCACATCATTTCACATCAAGAAATATATTTCTACTGAAACTATAGAAAAGGCTATTACAGAAAGATAATTAGCTGAGACCCTGAATCCAACAATTTGCAGACCTCACACACACAGGCACAAAAACACATATGTACATAGACAGAGTATCAAGAATTAGTGAGAAATCCAGCATGCAGCTTAGCACCATTTTCTGCTATAAAAAACTGTAACCTAGCAACTATGGCATATCAGCAAGATGAAATCCTTCTTCCTGTTACATAAAGTAAAGCCTGCTTCAAATCACAATTTGTATCTAACAACTGGCATTTTATTTATAATACTATTAAAACTTAAAAACAAAGCCATTCTGGATAACAATCTTAAAGCTGGTATTTCTTATTATCTATTTCCTATGCCCTACAATAAAATGGAAGAGGAAAAGAAATATCCTCATATTTAAAGGCTGGCCAGCTCAACTAATCCTAGAGCAAAGAAAAATTTAAAGTATGATCTTTAATATATGAAGATCAATGACATTATTTACGTAAAACAAATATGACAGTTTCAAAGAGGAACAAAGATCAAGCTTTCCCGCTTTCAAATGCTATTTATTTGAAATATTTTCAAGACTGCATAACCCATTTGGGGAAAAAAGGTAACAATGCAACAGTCAAAATTTAGAGCCCCTTATTGAGAATATTTTAGCAGCATTTCAATAACAGGCACACAAGGTATATCTGTATCTCTAATTTTAAGGGCAACTGAAAAGCTCTTTTCTTTCCTTTCTTTAATGAAATGAAGGAGTTAAATGAGAAAAAAAGAGGTGGAGATCTGTGGTCATCCAGTTGTTAGCAATCCTAAGTAGCATGGCCAATAGTGAAGAATGCTTTCCCTACTCTAGTTTTAAGAGCTACAGCATTTATTTAGCAATATTTATAGCCCACCCTACTCCAAAGAGATTCAGGTGGGATGCAACAAAGTCTAAAGTAATGCACTAAAACATAGATGGATCAACATTTTAAAAAGTAATGCATCAAAGGCAATTAACCTAAGGGCCAAACATTCACTGAAGCTATTTTCTTTAAAATACTATTTCCTGGATCTAGCTGTTCAATTAGGCATTTGGGCATTTGAAAGAATGAGAAGACCCAAGTAACTGGCTAGCAGTTTGGGAGTCCTCTTTGACTATAACTGTTGTTCAAGGAGGACTTTTGCACAACTCCATCTTGTGGGAACTTTTCTGGAATGGGAGGCATTACTTGCTGTCACTCATGCCTTAGTTATCTCTTGACGAGACTACTGCTATGAGCTCTGCATAGGGCTGTCCTTGAAGAGCATACAGAGAAATTACAACTGGTCCAGAATGCAGTGCTCATGTAGTTATGGGTGTGCCTTGTGGCCCTCATGTAATGCCTTGACTGTAAGAGCTGTACTGGTTGCCAGTTGTCATCTTTAAAGCCCTACACAGTTCACGACTTGGGTATCTGCTAGATGGCTTTCTCCAAGTAACATTTGCCTATTTGATAGTATCTAGTAGAGTGGATGAACAATGCAAAGAAATTGAGGAAAACAATAGAATGGGGAAGACTAGAGATCTCTACA